GCATCTGCGGAACAAGGCTGGGTTCAAGTACCTGCACAGCTTCACTGCAGGTGTTCCCGCTTCTGCTGCTGCTGCTGCTGCGGCGGCAGCTGCTGCCGCAGTAGCAGCAGCAGCAGCTGCTGCTGCTGCGGGGCGCTGCTGCTGAGAACCTGCTGCAGTAGCCCCTCCTGCCCTTGAAAGCCAGTGCCTGCAGCAGACAGCAGCCCCACCATCTTTGCTACTGAGACAGCAGCAGCCGCGCTGCTGCTGCTTTCGCTTCAGCTGCTGTCTGCTGCTGCTGCAGCAAAGTCAACGCAGCTACCGCTGCTGCTCCTGGCGTTTTTGCTTCTGCTGCAGTGCCTGCTGCCCTCAACAGCAGCCAAGCGCTGCTGATGCCGCAGTTGCTGAGTCCTTTTGCTCGAGCAGCAGCAGCTGCTGCTGCAGTAATGGCAGCAGCCGCGGCTGCCGAAGTGGCGGCAGCAGCAGCAGCAGCAGCAGCAGCAGCAGCAGCAGTCCTTCGAGGCAGCTAGCTAGCTAGACAGCAGCGCATGCGCCTCATGTAGCTTAAGGCGACTGACTTAAAATGAAAAAGCATTTCACTGTTATTCAGGTGTACGTACACCCCAGCTGCATGCAACTCGCAGCAGCAGCCTCTTAGTTTAGGCCGCGCTGCTGCTGCTGCTGCTGCTGCTGCTACAGTTGTTCGTGGGCATCGCAGCTAAGGCGCGTTCTGCAGCAGCTTCGCAAGATTGTTGCTATGGCAGCAAGTGCCGCAGCAGCAGAGCAGCTGCTGAGGCTTTCCTAGGCCGCAGCAGCAGCAGCTTAGAGCTGCAGCAGCAAAAGCAGCCAAGAGCTGCTGTAGGGCAGCCAGCGCACGCAATCTGTTGCCCAGGCCTTTTCTTCAGCAGCAAATTTCAAGTGCCGCTGCTGCTGCTGCTGCTGCTGCCTGCGGCGTTCAGCGAACTCCTTGTTGACCCTCTCAAGCTGTTTCTGTGTTGCTTCTTGCTGCTGCTGCAGCAGCTGCAGCTGTTTTTCCAGCTGCTGCTGCTGCTGCTGCAGCTCTGCGTACTGCGGACTCTGCCCTCTTTTGCGGCGCCGAAGGAGCAGCAGCTGGTGCTTAACGTGCTGCAGTGTCAGCTGCAGCTGCTGCTGCTGCTGCTCGTGCTGCTGCTGCTCCTGCTCCGCGAGCTGCAGCTGCCGCTTTGCTGCCCACAGCCTTTTTGCTGTAGCAGCTGTTGCAGCTGCAGCTGCAGCATCAGCTATCCCGAGTTCCATCATTTGCTCAGCATTAGCAATGCAGGGGTGTCCGTACACTTGCTGCTGCTGCTGCCGCTGCTGCTGCTGCTGCGGCAGGCGCAGCCCCTGGCGGGCATTTGCAGCAGGCAGCAGGCCCTGCTGCCGCTGCTGCTGCTCCCGCTGCTGCCGCTCCTCCCTAACAGCGGCAGCAAACTTTTCGCGGAGTTCAACCTCTTTGTCAATGGCCGTCTTCAGGGCGTCCTCGAGCTCCTTGCTGCTACTGCTGCTGCTGCTGCTGCTGCTGCTTGCTGGGACCCTGCTGTAGACGAAGCTTGCTTGCTGCTTGAGGAAAGTCCCGAGCTGCAGCTGCTGCTGCTTCCGCTCTGCTGCAGCAAATCGTGCTGGGGCCCCTAGCGCAGCTAGCTGCAGCAAGAAGAGTCTTTTGGTGCAGTTTGTGTCGCAGTGCTTTTTAGAATTTGCTGCAGCAGCAGCAGCAGCAGTAAGAAACTCCGTAAACTGCCGCCTAGGAGCACTGCTTTGGCCCCACAAGGGAGCAATCCATTTCTCTTTTGCTGCATATGCCTGCTGCAGCTGCTGCAGCAGCAGCCGCTGCTGCTGCTTCACGCAAGGGCGCCGAAAAGAGGGGTCCAGCAGCAGCAAGTATAAAGCAGCAAGCAGCAGCACAACTGCAACATACAGCGACAGCAGCAGCACCACCCGCAGCTCCGGTACTTCGCGCTGCTGCTGCTGCAGCCAGAGCCACACCTGCTGCCGCCGCAGCAGCAGCCAAACCTGCATGCGGCGGTATCGCAGCAGCAGCAGCAGCTGCTGCTTCCGCAGCCAGCGCCGCAGCACCGCCCGACACCTCCGTGTGCTCCATTGCTGCTGCTGCTGCAGCAGCGGTGATGCTGACTCATCTGCTGCTGCTGCTGCTGCTGCAGCGCCGCCTGGCGAGCGAGAAGCCCCGACTCTCCGCTGCAGCCTGCTGCTGCGAGAGTGGGTCGCAGCAGCAGCAGCTGCTGCTGCTGGACCCTCCATATCTACTTTTCTTGGGGCTAAAAGACTCGTTGCTGCTGCTGCTGCTGCAGCAGGAGTAGCAGCTGCTGGTGCTATAATTGCCTCTCTGCGGCGTTTGTCTTGATATAATAGTGAGTCAGAACTTTGTGCCTTCTGCTGCACTCGCTGGTCTTCGTCTCACCTCTATTTATTTATTTATTTATTCAATTATTTATTTATTTATTTATTTATTCGGTATTTATTTGGTTTCCCTCCGCCATCTCTGCTCCCGTTTGGGCTGCTGCTGCGGTTCTGTGTCTGCTTTCCTGCGCTGCTACTTGCGTCGGTTTGCTGCTCTCTCTCTTTGTGTTGGCTCTATCAGCAAATAAATACATAAATAATGATTAGATAATTAAATAAATGAAAAAATAAAAGAATTAGTCAATAATTTGGGCAATCAAGTGGTTTGGTCACTGGGCTAAAACGCCGACGCAGGCGGGAAAATTGAACTAATAAAAAAAAAAAGAAAATAAAAGTAAAGAAAATATTAAATTCGAAAAGTAAACATCAGCAGCTCCAAAGAGAGGGACAATAGTGCACCAATCGACACGTTTCACGCCCGCCCCAAACCCTAAACCCTAAACCCTAAATCCTAAACCCTAAACCCTAAGACCTGGGCCTTGAGAGCTAGACCCTGATATAGCCAGTCTTCGAATCTACTTCAAGGGTTTTGCTCCAGCAAATTGACGGCGGAAACTAATTAGCCTAAACCCTAAACCCTAAACGCTAAACCCTAAACCCTAAGCGCCGCCGCCTCAACCGCGTGGGCCTAGGGGCCCCGCCCGCCACAAACTAGGGCTTAGTGTTTAGGGTTTCGGCTTTAGGGTTTAAAGCTTAGTATTTGGTGTTTCGAGTTTGATGTTTAGGGTTTAGGGTTTAGGGTTTAGGGTTTAGGGTTAAGGACTTGGCCTTGAAACTGGACTGCCGTTTTCACGTGCTGTAAGCACACCAGCAGCAGCGGCAGCAGCGGCAACTGCAGCAGCGAAACCTGCAGCAGCAGCACAACCTGCAGCAGCAGCACAACCAGCAGCAGCAGCACAAGCAGCTTCTCATGTGTTGCCCCGCTGCAAGGCATGTAAACTGCAGCAGCAGCAGCAGCAGCAGAGGGCTGCGGCTCAACTCGAAATGTCTCAGCAGCAAGAGCTGCTGCCGTGAGAGAAGCAGCAGCAGCAGCAACTGCAGCTGCAGCAGCAGCAGCAGCTGCTGCTGCTGCCAGTGGTTAGCAAGAAGCAGCAGCTGCTCGTCCCAGCGGCCGCTGCCCTATGAATCGACGCACCAACCGCCTCTGCTGCTGCTGCTGCTGCTGCTGCATTTCTCCCCCGCAGCAAAATGAGTTGCCTGCTGCTGTGAGCAGCTACAGAAGGAGCAGCAGATGCAGCCGCCGCGCTGCAAGCAGTCTGCTGCTGCTGCTGCTGCTGCTGCTGAGTCCGCCTGCAGTGCAGGGGTTCCGCAGAGGTGTATGTACACCTCAGTTACAAGCAGCAGCAGCCACTTCATCGCTTTCAACTCACTTTGAGCAGCAGCAGCAGCAGCTGCTGCTGCTGCTGCAGCAGCAGCTGCCGCTGCAGCGCCACCGTGAGGGGATCGCGACCAAATGTGGGGCAGCAGCAGCAGCGGCTGCTGCTGTAGCTGCTGCTGACTCAGCAACTACAGCACGCGACCACAGCAGCAGCAGCATCAGCAGCAGCAGCAGCGTCTGCAGCAGCAGCAGCAGCAGCAGACGTTTTGCGCCTCAAGGGCTTATCAGAAGCTTCGCAGCGTCGGCGTTGCAGCCCGAGGACTTTTGGACAGACCAAAAGCAGCAGCAGCAGCAGCAACAGCAGCAGCAACAACAGCAGCAGCAAGAGCAAGAGCAGCAGCAGCAGCAGCTGCTGCACCTGGAAGGCGACGACGGCTTCGTCTCCGTCAGGTCAGAAGAATCTCCAGCGCATTTCTGGAGTTCTTATGAGGATGAGCTGCAGCAGCAGCAGCAGCAGCAGCAACAGCAGCAGCAGCAGAAACAGTACAGAGGCTCCTGGAGGCAGAACCAGCACCTGTCCCGGTCGCTCTACGCCAAGCAGCAGCAGCAGCAGCAGCAGCAGCAGCAGCGGCGGCGCCAGCGACAGCAGCAGCAGCTGCAGCTGCAAGGCGAAGGGGATGCAAACAGCTCAGATGCATTGGCAGCAATATCGCGCTGCGGGACGCTTGACGATTTGCTGCAGCTGCTGCACCGTCTTGCTGCTGAGAAGCCGCTGCAGCAGCAGCGAGCGCCGGTGCTGCTGCGAGCGCTGCAGCAGCTTGCTGCTCTTGCTGCTGCTGCAGACAGCAGCAGCAAAGGCAAAGCTAAAGCCCCCAAGGGCCATTCCCACGTAGCCCGCTTCCCTATTGTCAAGGTAAGGGATCCTGCAGCAGCAGCAGCAAAGCAGCAGCAGCAGCAGTAATCACAGCAGCACTGTCCTTGGGGCAACGGCAGCACGAAAAGAAAGGGCAGTGCAGATCTCTGCTTCTCCCTGATCTTACGTATCCTGCTAAATGAACTTGCTGCTGCTGCTGTTGCTGCTGCTGTTGTTGCTGCTGCTGTTGCTGCTGCTGCTGCAGGACTTGCTGTTGGCCCTGGAGCAGCAGGGAGCGTCGCTGAAGCCTTTTGCTGCTGTTGGGGCCCTCAGGAGTTTAAGCCAGCTGCGTTTGCTGCCGCAGCAGCCGTTGCTGCAGGCGTTTGTGTCTCGCTTGGTGGCTGCGAGCAGCAGCAGCAGCAGCAACAGCAACAGCAGCAGCAACAGCAGCAGCA